AATTACGAGTTAGATTTCAGCCAACAGCCCTGTAGTATGGAGGTTTAAAGCACCTATTCCCGTAAGATAAAGGTTAATGAGCCAATGAAAAATTGAAAACTGTCAATAACTGAAATATAAATTCTGTGAAAGATTTGTTTCTGGAGATTATATAAGCAAGAGAAACACGTCTAGATGAGGAGCTGAAATAATACTGACAGTGATGATGATAACAACAACAGCAACTCTTATTAATATTATTATTTTATTTTATTTTTCAGCTTTGAAGGAGGATTTAATACTCAGAGCAGTGAAGGAACCACAGGTCAGGAGCTGTTTTCACCACTGCTGAGGTTTCCTGGCGAGTCTGTGACCAAACTCTACAAAAAAGTGACAGATGAAAGATTGATCATTGATGTGGAAGGTATGTTAATTAAAGATTCCATGAAGCTGTTCATTACCAATACAATTTATGAGAAGATTTATATTATATGTTTGGTTTGTATAAAAATGGAGAATTTAATGAACAGTTAAAAGGAACAACCTGAACCATGGTGTTGGTTATACTGTTTCAGGTTTTGACAGACTTCAGGTAGTGGCCCCACAGAGGTTGGTGAGCAAGTTGCATATGCTGCATCCTATGAAGAACAACACCCGATATTATGCAGTAGTCAGTGTGGATACGCACCATTTCCATCGCAAAATATTGGTCAGATCTCCCCTGCAGGTGGATAAAGAGGAGATTGAAATTGAATGATATGTAGCTAGTACCTAAACCAAGTGCTTATTATTTGTTATAGTGAATGAAAAATATACAAGAGGTATAGCATAACATGTGGGCAGTTAAAATGTGGTTCACATACAGACCTCCAGGTCTGAGGCTAGCTTATCCAGGGGCCAAATAGATGGTCTTCTTGTCCTCTTCCCCCCTTTTTTCCTAAAATTGGGAGCAGAAATCAGCTTCTAATATGTTATAGTCTTATGATTTTGTAATTAGATGATGGACAAAGACTGAAAGAACAGTTTTACATATTGTAACATACCACTGTCAGAAACCTTCAGACTTCGACAAGTTCCAGTTGTTGGACCCACAGTCAGTCTGTGAACTGACCCACTTTGTGCTAACCTCTATATAAATGAAAACAACGAAAGGAAAAGAGGGCATGGTAAGTTATTTCTAGAACTTCCTTTTTAGTTAAATTTAAAGACTTTGTTCCAAGGTACGGTCATTAAAGAATGGTAGTATATAGTATGTAGATTGTTAAGTACATGTTACCATCCCATCAGCAGACAGGCGAGTAAAATCATATTAGGGTGACTAATAAATCCTTTGAAAGTGTGACAAAGTTAAAATATTTGGGAAAAACAATAACAAATCAAAATTATATTCACAAGGAAATTAGGAGGAAATGCTGCTACTTTTCAGTTAAAAATATTTTGTCTTCCTGTCTGATTTATAAGAACCTGAAGATTAACATATACAAAACAATAGTTTAGCCTGTTGTTTTGTATGAGTGTGAAACATGTTCTCTCACTCTCAGGGAGGAACATAGATTACAGGTGTTTGAAAATAGGGTTTTGAGGATATTTTGGCCTAGGAGAGAAGAGGATGGGGTATGGAGAAAACTGCATAATGATGAAAATTTGTACTCCTCCCCCAATATTGTCAGGGTGATTAAGTCAAGAAGAATGAGATGGGCAGGGCATGTAGCGCACATGGATGGGGCAAGAGATGTGCACCGGGTATTGGTTGAGAAGCCTGAAGGGAGGAGATCGCTGCGGAGACCTAGACATAGATGGGAGGATAATATCAACCAGCATTTATGGGAGATAGGAGTTGAGGGAGACTAGATTTTGTTGGCTCAGAACAGGGACTGGTGGAGGGCTTTGGTTAATTCGGTGATGAACCTTCGGGTTCCCTAAGCCATCTACTTAGTTAGTTAGTATATAGATTGTTTTCCTTTCTTATAAAGGTGAAGAATGAAACATCATATGCCATGGGACTATACTATAAGAAATCCATGCTAGATGCCCTTGGAGTGGAGCATGTTGGAGAGTCAACAAACCCATTTGAGGACACAATCAGGGTTGCAATAGTGGAGCCAGATGAGACCTTCAGTGTCCCGCTATATGTGGCTTACCATTGTAAACTGTTCATTCTGCCAGCCTATGTGGAGTAAGTGTCATTTTATGAAATTTAATGTTCTCATTACAGTGAGTATGAAGATGACTGTCTTCTAGGTTGTTGTGCTATGTACCTTGATGATGAGTGGAGCAAGAACATCTGAAATATTGGTAAACTTCTACCAGACTACACAGTGCAACAACCCAGAAGATAGCCATCTTCAAATGTCATTACACTTTGAATGCAGAGATCCAGGATTACAAAATATGCTGACAATGTAAGAAAATTCATTTCAAAGCTTAAAATTTACTTGCCTGTAGTCTCTGTTAAATCTCTTGTGGCAGTATTTATGGATTCAAGCTCACATGTTTTGGGATTTAAATGTGGCAAATATTAGTTTACATTTCTTATTCAATGCAGTAGTTACCACGTCAGTGAAATAGGACTGTGGTGGCAGGAGCTGGCCTCAGACTTGAACACTCCCAAGGACATCTACTGTACCCCCAAAGAAGAGAAGGATGCTACAGTCTTCTCAGTGAGGGTGTGTAGTACCATGCTTAGGACAAATTGTCTATCTTAATTTCATAGCTTGTCTGATATGACAGTTATAATGGAAAGATTAAATTTAAAAGATACATTTTTTGTAATACTTTCTGTCAAGAAGAGGAGTTTTATGCCTTACAGTAAACTTTTTTAAACTCTGTTTTATAAAATGTAATTGATTTGGGAAGTCATATGTTGCAAGAAAAATAGTAGATGCTTTTGTCCAGAATGACAAATTCTGTGAACTTGCATAGAAATTCCAAGAATAGAAATTGCTAACAAATCTTTTTCCATTTTCTTAATGAGTTACCTAATATAATCACATGAGTAGCTTGGTATCTAGCTGTGTGCATTAGCCTGCCACTTTGCTGTAGTAGATGCTGAAGAGTGTGTATTGTTTGAACATAAAATGCAAACTATCTGGCAGATTTTGTCCATTTCTTAGTGCTTAGCTTGCAGTGTGAATAATATTCTTTGAAATGCCCCTTTTTATAAAGAGAATCATCCTGTTGTGGCTGTCATAATGGTTATATAGGTGAAGCAACTTCAGTATCTTTTAAGCTTTCTTTTCAGTAGTGTAGTAAGATAATGGCATCTAACATCCCAGTTCTCTATAGAGCCATCCACTACTGACATCTATCAGGAAATAAATGGAGTACTAGCTTTTGAATCTGGCATGGCACAAAACACAGTTTCCTGCTTGCTGCTAATTAGCATGAAGCTGGCAGATGCAGGAAACTGCCTTCCCATGATGGTGTATTAAGTTGCTTAACCATTGTCATGGCAATAGGGGTTGTAAAACCCTATACCATTGTCCACGATTTAATAGCTTATTTGTATGCTACTGCAACAAATGGCTAACTGGATGGCATGTACGCTGATGCACAGCTGATAAGGATTAATTGCATTGTCATGTAATGAATATGTTTTACTTTTATTGCAGGCGTTGTGTGTGGAAGGTGCACCAATGAACAGAGCTTCCCGCTCCATCCCCAATTATATGATACGATTGCTTCCACCACTAGCCATACACAACAGGCTGCCTTATGCAGTTGAAGTCAGAGTACCAACAATAAAATATGAAGTTCGCATTGAAGCAGGGGAAAAAACTAACGTATATTTTTTGAATCTTCTGAAGATGCACAAAATCTGTGTTGAGGTATTTATAAGTACTGTTATTTTGATTTGTTACCTGACTTCTGAGGTTGTCTTCTTTAGTAGGCATTCAGTTGCTTGTAGACAGATCCATTTTGTTATCCTTATTGTTAAAAGAAATACACACACTTGCTAATACTTGTTGGTCTGTACTGCTCTGAATAGGTCAAGTATTGATCGCACGACCTGTTTCTGAAGTTTGACTCCAGTAGTATTAACATCTAAGGGGGATTCTTTCATACTCAGAGTTGCAATTCTCTGTTGATGTTTTTGAGAATCCAGTAGTGTTTTATTTCCTGATTTCTGTTTAATCTGTCTTTCTCTTTTTCTCCTCTTCTCTGCTTTTCCTTCATTCCATCCTCTCTCTTTACTTTTACAGTGTTTAAAATTAGATACCCAAAATAAGTGTGCCCCAAACTACCAGTTTCATTGAATCACTGTGAAAGATGAATTAATACATAAAATTAATGAAAGCAAATTTGATTTTCTCTCAGTAAAAGCTGATAAAACTAAGGGATACTTTATTTGAAAATAAGAAAAAAATACCTTTTGGCATTTCAGCTGTTATTAAATTGCATGTGATTGACAGACTGTTATGTGTAGCTAGTAAATGTTGGTGCTGAATGAAAGCTTTTGTAATTATCTTTCAGTAGAAATTGTATTGCTTTAGGTACCTTTCTATTTGGGCATTCCATGGATGGGCTCTTTCAACATGACTGCAGACCTAGAGGAGAAGACTGTTGCCATGGTAACCGAGTATGACACAGAAGGAGGCAATAAGCAGTTGGGGCTGAACCTCCATGTGGAGCGAACTGAAACTTGTGATGTGTTTCTGCATGCACCTTATTGGATTATTAACAAGACTGGTCTGCCATTGCAGATCAGAGTAAGTATCGTGCAGAAACTATGAGTCATCTACTGGATCTTCAGGAATGATTTATGTATTCCTTTTCTTCTTCCTGCCTCTTCAGTTTACTTCAATCATAGCTCTCTGTACATTCCTGTTCATTTTTCTCTGTGCTTCCATTTAATAACACCCAATCTTATTCTTCTCAGCCCATCCAGCCATCTTAGTTTTCAGGATTAAGAAAAGTCATGTTTTTAATTAGCCTGTTTAAATTATTATATTGACAACATATATGGAAATCAAAAACAGTAATATCCAAAGATGCGGATCCCATGGATTTTATTATATGGAATTATTAAATTAGAATTATAAAGAAATGGGAAAGAGACATAGAACAATTTGTGTCCCTGAATTTTGTTACATTTAACTTTACTTGGACATGTATTTTTCTTAATGTGTCTTCCTGTGGTTTGACAGAAAAATATACTGTTGTTTGATTGACAGGCTTCTTTGTCTGATGTTGTATATGAGGCCCAAGGAGAAGAGCCACTGTTATTCTGCTACAAGAAACATCGTCGTCATTGTGTGCGTTTACGAGCCTATCACTCGTCATGGTCGTCTGCATTTTCATTAGATACAGTCAGCTGCACAGGACTTGTTGTGTGCAAAGACAGAGAAAGGAAGCGTCGCTATCGAATCCTGCTCAGCGTTATACTGTCAAAGCTTTGCCCACATCTAACACGCATTGTCACACTCTTGCCTAACTTTCTGGTTGTCAATGACACCCGAAAACATCTCAGATTCATGGAAGAAAATGAGAGGGCAGATCTGTGGATTGATTTAGCATCAGGGCAGGTGAGTGGGTAGAAAATTATATGATTTTATAGTAAATAACTTGTAAATTGTGAATTAAAGATAGTGTCTGTTTGTAAAACAGGACGTATTTCCAGTTTTATGAAATGTACAATCAATAACCAAATTACATTTTTATTCAACTCTGGTTGTGTCAACATGATATTGATATTTAAATGAAAATTGGTAGTTGATATGAAGAATGGGTGTATACTGTATACTCAGGAGTCAATTCTTCCAAAAATTTACAAAATAGATGGTCATGAAATGCCTAATTCAGACCCTCATGTTCATAAATTCACATTATGATTATTTTCCCTTTTCAGTGTATTCCCTTCTGGCCTGATACAGACTCCATGAGGATGTATGTGAAGTTTCGGGACAGCAAATTAGTGTCACAACATTTCCCCATAACACACATACACCAGACTGTTCTAAGGATGGATAAAGGTGTAAGTATGTTTGTTTGTTTGTTTGTTTTTCTCTCTCTCTCTGAGTCTAGCAGTCAGGTTGTGTGATAAAGTGATATACTGAGATGTTAAATCAAGCCCAGGGAATGACATAAATCTCTTAATGGAACAAATTGTAATAATTGTTTAAATTCATTTTGACTCCATAAATTCTGTATTTCCTGGATTCCATGCATTTATTAATCTCTTTTATGTACCTGATACCATTAATTTAAAATGTTCATCATATGCCTACCCTGTGCTGAAAGGTCAAATTATAAAAGAGGTCCCACAAATCTCCTGGTCTGTCCTTCATGAACAAAGACTGTGTCTAGAAATAAAAAATTGTATACCATGTGTGTTGCATATGAATTTTATATTTTCTAATCAAGTGTTCAGAGTGGTAAAGTAAGCATAATATTTTAACCAAATGCCACTGACACATGTATGTTAGCAGGCTGGTCTCTGCGTGGATGTGAGTGGTGGAGGTGATCAGCCCTTCACAGTAACATTCCGCAGCTACTGTTTGGGTGATGCTCCTGTACGTGTTGACAACCTGTGTGAAGATCTGTTCCTTAAAATTCACCAGCAGGATCTAGGACAGGTAAGGTAGGATCCTCATGAATAGGACAGGTATCTGGTCTGGTCATCTGGAATGTGTGAAAACAGTTTTTAGATTGCTACAGTACTCATTTGTTCCATTAATTTCTGCATGTCATTTGGTGTCTTGAAATAATACAACTGACATAGAAATAAATATGTTTCCAAGTTTACAAAATATTTGTTATTATTTATATTAGCTCTTTGAAAACTGTGTACTGGATCTCCCAGACTGATGTTTACTAGTGCACTGTTTCACCTGGGATATCTCAGTCCATATGAGATTTGAGGTTCTCACAGTGGTGAAAATGTCGATGTCTGTCTTCCTGTAAGTCCACAAGGCATTACAACCCAGAAGACCAACATCAACATCCCAGTCTGCAATTTATACATTTTTTTATTATTTTCTGATGAGAGTTGTCATTAATGACAAACTATACATACTCTTCCATCTTTTGACTAACGTTTGGTAGTATTTATACATTTCTTTTAACACAGGAATCAGTAAGCTAAAAAATAATTAGCAGCCAAAGGATCAATGGTAATTCATTTTATTGTTATGAAATTAATTTTTATGAATGCCACAAAAATCTTATAGGTTGAAAAGCTGTGTTCTTTCTGATTCCAGTCATCTGATTTAATTATTAAGATAGACATTAAAATTTCAGCATTCATGAAATTTGGTTATAAATGTTGTACCATTAAATGCTACACTCCTTTTATAATTTTCAGTTTCTTACTGTCACTAAAATCAAATGGTCACCGTGTAAATGTCTGAGGTGGGAATGACACTAGTGAATCAATGTAAAGGTATAGTATTGCACAGTGGTCATGGATATTTTAAAACCACTGTGTGATATTCAGTTTGATGATAAATATAGACATACTTGGAAAATATACATATTTTCCATACAGCAAATGTTTAGAATTATAAAAAACTTTGTACCGACAGGAAGTGCTTTTCAGTACTTGTGTAATTTCTAGGTAGCTCTTCTGAGTCCATATCAGTCAATGTTGTATACATGGGACGATCCCTCAAAAGAAAGATTGCTTCTGTGGAATGTCTACAACAAGAAATCAAAAGGAATTGTTGCTGAATTCTGGAAGGTAGGGGTTAAAAGCTTACAGTTACTACACAGGCAATGTTGTCTGACACGGTATCACTTGTCAATGGTTGGATATTAACTCAGATTGAAAATAACAATGAATATGTGCAAAATTTTGGTGGGGAAAACTTTTGAAAAGTGGTCACTTGAAAGACTGAGGAGATGAGAGCATAATGTTAAGGTGGTTGTTATGGAAATATGTTGTGAGTATGGAAAGTATATGAAGCTCTGGAATTTGTGATACTGGATCTTTGGGTTCTATTACCATAGAATTAATTGGCTTTATGGAACATGGTAATGAACCTTCAGGTTCCATTAAGAATGGGAAATTGTGTGGCCAGCTGAACAACTATCACTGTCTAAAGAAGGACTGAACAAATATCATGGTCAAGTAGTTAGCTTCCCTGCTTCATATTTAGGACCAAGGATCAAATTTCAGCCTACAGACCAGTTATCCTGACACATTTTCCCGATTTTTCTCAATCCCTCCAGACAAATTCTGGTATAGTTTAAATTAGGCCATAACCACTTCTTTCCACATCCTTCCCAATGTGTAATTTATTAATTATCCTATTGAGTTAAAGACAGCATTTTTAAATAAACTTCATATAAATAAATGAATATAAAGAACTCTACTCTATTGAGTTAGTTTAGTTGATTAGCAGTGAGGTAACAGGACACTGTGGAACTTTATATGTATCTGTGTTTACTGACACGTGCAGAATCTGTCATGTGCTTGTGTTTTTCTCTTTCAGGATGGTTATGGACAAGAACGTGTCAGTTTCCATACTGTAAAGCAGCCATGTTTAGTCACAAGCATGCCAACTGTTACGGCCAAGCTCTCTGCCAGTCTTAAGAGAATGTCTTCAAAGTCTCCAGTACGGGATGGCAGCAGTAGCAGTGACGATACAGAGTCAGATGAGCAGAAGCCTCAGGTATTAAAGATCCTAATATGGATATGAGGTTTCTGAGTAATGTGAAATTTTGTTGTACAGAGTGTTTCATTCTTGTTGCAGCAATTGAAGAAGACAAGGAAAGACAAAGTGACAGTATACTGGGTGAGCTATCTGGAAGGTCCCCAGAGGGTACTCTTATTTACACAAGATGAAAGGATAGCATACCAGGCAAGAAGCAACATTGATGCAGAGAAGAGTAACTTGGAGATGTTTTTATCATTTAGTGGGATAGGTGTGTCACTGGTGAGTGGTGTTTCTGTTTCATACAAATAAAATGTTTTAACTGTACTATTAGGAGTGTATGTCTGAAGGTAAGAATTCAGCAGATACTCTCCTATGTCCATTACTAACTGTCTGATTAATTAACTTCATTATACAGTGTTTCTTGAGTATCTGGTAGCTATTCAGCTGGTCAGAATATTTCTGGTTGTGTCTGAATGTGTGCAGTACCGTTACAGTATTAGCAGAATGTATAAATTAAGAGTTCCATTTTACACAGTACTTTGTAACTTTTGCAGGCATTAGAATCAAACTACTGCCAGAAAGAGCTGGCTTACATCAGTATCTCTGACTCATCGCCTGTATGGGAGGTAATGGTGGCTCACCGCTGGAAATTGCTCACCCTAGAGCTGGCCTCGTGGATAGAGGACAAATGGAAACAAGATCAAAAGAAGGCCCAAATGAAGGATTATGTACATGTAAGTACATTCTTTTTTATTCTCTTGGGGAAAGGGAAGCATGTGGTATCACATTGTATGTGCTGAATTTATGTTATAATAAGTGTCACTCTGCATGATATCCTGAAAATATTTCAGTTTTCCGCTGCCAGTCACCATTCCATCTATGCTGTGTTCTAATTTATTATTGCATATATATTGTGCAATAGATATGACTATTTAGCACAATATCACAGCCTTGGTCCTCAGTTGAAGCCTTATCAATGACCTGATATTTTGCCACACTTGGAGAAGAGAATTTTGTTTTCATAATATAGCATGGTGAGCCAACATACTCAAGCATGTGCAATATTATATGAGGACAATTTAAATGTGCCCCTTTTGTTTAAGTAAATTTTTCTATATTTAAAAGTAGGTTGAATAGAATGACAGAAACACCACTGTAGCACCCTTGTTTTTAGTATATAAATTACTTTGTTGATTTTATCTCTTCAGAATTATGAATTGCAAAACTGTTTCATTCTGTTACTGTTATCAATTGGTTTCTCATATTGCAGGTAGATTTTGAGAAGATGCAAATGACTAAACCTTTCTATGGTGATCTGAGGAGGCACTACTATCCTGGGCTTTGGCTTCAATATCGGAAATCAGATCACCAAAGTTATCTCCACTGCAAATTACACAGAATACAGGTAAGAATTTAATTTCTTTTTTGACACTGAACTCTTTCAGTGAGCCAGCATTGTTCAGCCAGTATAGTGACCGGCTATGGACTGGACAACTAGGGTTCGATCCCTGATGGGGCAGAGCATTTTTTCTCTAGCCTCTGCATCCAGACTGGCTCTGGGGCCCACCCAGCCTCCTCTACAATGGGTATCGGGGATCAATTGTGGCCAGGGCATGATGCTGACCACTCACCCCATCTAGTGCTGAGGTCAAGAATGAGTGGTAGCTATACCTCCTCTCCCCCCAAGCACCTACATGGCGTGTAGTGGGACAGCTTTGCTTTACTTTTTACTGAGCTTTTCAACAACAAAAATTAATGCATGTGTACTATAGTTATTAAAATTTATCATTAATCTTTCCATCTCGTGTAGGAAAGAAAGTTTCAAATAAAAATATTGATTTTATGGAATGAATTTTTAAAGTCTTTTGGACCATGCTAATGGCAAATTTTTTTAATACTTATATAAATATTTCTGTCTTCATGCTTGATGTATAGGTTGACAACCAGCTACATGATGCAGTATTCCCAACAGTCCTGTACCCTACTCCCATACCTCGACACATTGTACGTCGTGTGGGCATGAAACCCTGCATTGAAATGGCTGTGATGAAGCGACACAGACCTTCTCAAAACCAAGATGTGTACAAGTAAGCCTTTTTATCTCTTGGCTTATCTGAATATATTGTTATGTGTATGAAACTTCTTCTTTCACTGTGAGAGATGAATGCAGATTGAGATTGTCAGAACTTCGGTCAGAAAACCAAAGAGGAAAGGACAGCTTGAAAGACCTAGTCATTGATCAGTGAATAATAGTAGAAGCATTTAAAAGAAATGTTTTATGAAGTTGTGGACTGAATTGACTAGCAAAAGACAATACACCATGTGATAACAGGTTGTAATATCACACTGCCTAGTTAGGCCTGTCAAGTATCTCACATCTCAGGGGTGAAGGTACATGAATATAAAGCATTTTCTGAAGGTAATACTGGCCAATGTCTTTAGGAAAGACAGGATGACAATACATGTGTTTAATTTGATGACTTTAGTTACAAGAGGAAGTTCCTGTATTGCAAGAATAAAAATATGTCATCAGCATAGTTGGTCTCTAAATGTGAGTAATAATATTAGATTCTTTCTTATTTTCTAAATAATCTCCACATTCATCCCAAAATAAGATCTGAATGCAGTCTTTAATTGTTGCATTTTTTCATTGGGCTGTCGCTCAAACCCAGCAAGAGGTATTTTTTTATATGTGTTAATTTACTTTATTAGTACTCAATTTTAGTGCAGTAAAGTTTAATTTAACCGAAAACTGATCCAATATTTAACACACAGAAACGTTATATAAAATCAAAATTAATTCATGTTAAATTTTTCTGAACTAATTGTAAATTCTAATATATTTTCTACATTGAAGGTTTAGGCCTGTGCAGTTTCTTCCATGTCTAAGTGCTGATCTGACCACCTTCTTTCAGATGAAGGAAAGTTTTGGACTATAAATTTTCCCAGTTGTGATGCACACAAAATACTCAGACATTCATTTCTCTCAAGATTAGTAATTTAAAAACTTATATCTGAGGTAAGTTGTTTAATTCTTTTATACATTCAAAGACTCTTAGTTAAACATGTGTTTTTGTCTGTTATACAGGTTCATTAAGGTGCTAGTGCAGGAATTTTCCCTGCAACTGGATAAGGGCTTCCTTCTTTCCATGTATGACATTCTGTCTAACTGGCAGGTTGAAGAGAAATCATCTGTAAGGATGCGAGCAGACATTGCGTTGGTCCATGTTCCCTTAGCAATGATTTCTGCAAAGGTATATTACGTCTTCTTTTAACACATAATTTTTACAGCTCTGTTTCCTTTTAAACACATAAATGATGGCTGTACAAAAGATTACAAATAGTGAATTACAACTTCATGATGTATATTCACATCCTAATGTGATCTGTTTTAACCTTAAAATATATTATAAATTAGTAAATGAATTCTGTTCCAATTCTATCATGAACCTAACACTTTCTTGTTACAGTCATGTTTAGGCACCTAATTTATTTTTAAGTCACCTTGTTTGTTAGGTTATGTATTGTATGTAGTTCTTCATTGTTAATGGTTTTGCATAGTAAATTTACATTATCATGCACAAGTACCTAGTTTAAGCAATTCTTTTTCTCCTGAGATACTATAGACTTTCTTCCTGGCTTAATCCAAAGTAATAAAATAAAGTAAATCAATCAATAAAAGTAAATAAGGATAAAGTATCTCTTTGAAGTTGAAATGTGTCCAAGAAATATATAATTGTCCCCTCAGACAGGCTTACATTATAGAAACAGACCTTAATATTTAATTCATAAAATTAACATTATATAAGATGGAAGTAGTCAGTTTCTGACATCTTGAATTTAATGTTGACTGATTAAGTGTAGAGGCAAGAGTTAGAATTTAAGGAACAATTAAATTAAATATAATTAATTATTTAAATGTTTAATTTTATTATACATGATTACAGGCTGCTAGTGAAGATCCCAAAGTGGTTATTGAGTATATGCATTTATCACCTTTGGCACTGCAGTTCAGTTTCTCTCCACGGGGTACAGTATATCAGAAGAACAGAGTTCGTTCCTTCAAGTCTGATCTTGTTGATTTCTTCCTCAACTCATTTGGAGCTACGCTTACAGAAGTGAAGGGTGTCAAGTTGAAGTAAGAATCATAATTTTGTGTATAAAGAGAAATGCAATTTGAAAATTATTCCTGGCTACACACAAGAGATTACTAATAATTTAATGTTCAGCTATAAAGGGTTATCATAATCTGAATATGGACTATACATCCTTTCTGTTTTTCTTCACCAGTCATTATTCCACCAATATTCCGCAGGTCTTACTATCCAGCTTATGAAGTTTTCACACAAAGATAATGAAATGAACATATATAATTTATTTATACTGAGGGAGGAAGTAGTTCTCCATTAAAGTTGTTAGAGTAGTTAAATAAACAGCTCATATCACTCCAATATAATTCCTACATTTTGTGAAACTCAAACTTTTTTCCTAGAAAATATATCATTGCAGAAAAAATCAGTATGTAATATGTAATATAAATTTCAATATTACGTAAGACTTAAAACAGTGTTCAATATGTTGAATATTTAACTAAATACAGCTAAAATAATTTCAGATTATGCAATGTGGCATTTGAGTTACTAATATTACTACAATAGATTTGTATCCTCAATAAGTGAGCTTTAAGGCCGAAAACGTATGAAAAACTGCGATGAACACATTTGGGCAATATTTGTACCCCAATTAGGAAAAATCATTTTGATATATGGGAGGTAATGCTCCACATATTGTTCACTTAAACAGTAGATGGAGGTGGTAAGAATTAGCTGCTCTAATCCCTGAGCAAATAATCAGAGTATCCCCTGGATAGGAGGCTCAGTGAACTTCAGAGCCAGTCTAGATGTGAAAGTGAAGAATGAGTCTTGGCCACCCATTTTATAGCCAGTCACTTTATTAACTGAGCTGTCAAGGTTCAAACCTTGGTATTTAGTTTTGGCCTAATTCCCAATTGAGAAGTTGCAGGCAGTGAATAATTGAACAAAATAAGAGTGCCTTTCCTTTAGTTGTGATCTCTATGTAGGATGGCATATCTGGAGCAGAAAGGCAGCCTCATCAGCCTGAGTCAGGAGCTGGAAGAAATTCATCGGCACTATAGCAGCCAGTTGATTCAGCAGTTCCATGTCTTGGTACTAGGACTTGATGTCCTTGGCAATCCCTATGGTCTCATCACAGACTTCACTGAAGGATTTGGAGACTTCTTCTATGAACCGTTTCTAGTAAGCTTAGAACTTTGCTATATGCCATTCTCCAAAAATGCATAAATTTCATAAATTTGAAGGGAAAACATCTTTGAAAATGATTGCTTGGAAAATTGAGGAGATGGGAGGATAACATTAAGATTCATTTGAGGTAAGTAGGTTGTGAGGATAAGAGGTGAATAGAACTGGGTCTGGAATGAATCAGATGGTGTGCCTTTATACCAACTGTTGAATCTTTGTGTTCTACTACTGGAAAGTTAGTCATGTAGTTTGATCTGTTCTGCTTTTCAGTTACAGAATACAAGGTCTGACAATTAAACAGTGATCTTTTAAAAAACAAAAGGATATTATCAGTGTTTATCTTGTGGGTTGTAATGCTGTGTGAACTTGTAGGTAGATATGAATGTTTTGGAAGAACATACTACTTAGGTCTTTAGGGCTGATGGAGGTAGTACATTCTTCTGAAACTTTGATATCTACCTCCAAGTCTGCACAGAATTACAACTCAGAAGACCAAAAACATGACATCTTCACAGCCATGAGAAGAACTTCAAATTTCATGTGGAAGAAATATTGTCACTTCCCTTTAGTGATTGTGATCACCTTTGTGGTACTCAGCTTTTGACATACATCTGCATTTCAATACTTTTTCTCTACCCTGGAAATGTTGCTGGAAATCATTTTCCAAAAGTTATTTAATTACTTTAACATTATGTTGTGACTTTATAAAGCTAGTAAGTTATGGAATGCATGAAGTCTTTTAATGTCCTAATTTAGGTTGCAGCTAATTCATGGTCTTATTTCAATGAAAGTTTTTAAGTTAATCAAATTCACTAATTTCAAGCATAAAATAAAATTCATAGTGCCTTATTGTCTTTAACTGCTTGATTTCCAGTCATTTAAATCATGCTTATGTTGTGTCATTTTTCATTCTTCTCTGATCAACTGCAGTGTAACTATTTTCCAAAACTATATGTTTCTCCCTTTCACTTCTTCATCACTATTTTCACCCCTTCTACATTTTGATGGATTAATGATTCATTTAGCTGTTTTATTAACTAATTTAGTGACACTGGAGTCAGACTAACATTATTGTCTGCTAATAAGTACAGATCATGATGTCTGATATTCTTCTATGCTCTGAATTCTGTCTGGTAGACAGAGGCTACAGTTAATAAAGATGAGTAAAATCAGGATGTCCTGGGGAATTTGAGACAGGCTTCCCTTGTTGTAGGGAGTCATGGAAGGGCCAGATGAGTTTGCTGAAGGCCTGAGTCATGGTGCTCAAAGCCTCCTGGGGCATGTTGTGGGTGGGACTGCCGGCTCAGTCTCCCTCATCTCCTCCTCACTGGGGGACCTCCTCAGCAGCCTCAGTTTTGATGAGGACTACAAGAAAGTAAGTGGAGAATCATTGGTATCTGCATCTTGTCTATTCAGCAGACTCCTTGACAGTACTGATGTTGTTAACACTCTCACTGTATGAGTTAGTGCTGATTTGTAATATGTTGTAATTTGATCTAAGTCTTGTACAGCAGAGATAAAGCATGTTAACTCTACTGATTGATTTTTATAGTTAATATTCAATTTACATATCTGTGAACCTGTATACAGTGAGAACAATAAACATGGAATTGGAAAATGTGATCATCATCAATATAAATGGGAAGCATTATCCTATTTTAGAGAATTAGTCACTTTCCAGTCACAGTTCATTACAGAATCAAATTGTGAATATTATATGCTAAGTTTGTATTAATGACATTTTATTTCATGTTATTACATGTTTTGTCTCTATAGAAACGATGGTTCTGCCTGCAGCAGGCCAGTGATCTTCCTGACACAATCCTTCAGGCCTCCAAAACATTTGTGATGGGTGTGGCCCTTGGTCTGTCAGGAGTCATAATGAAGCCCATCATTGGTAAGTTGTTCACGAGTGTTATACTTATACTGTATGTGTTGGCAGCCGAGGAGTCAGTACTCATAGGCAAGGACTTGTGGTTCAGAACTAAGAAGCTGTTTTCAGTATCTTAATTAGATTCGGTTTTTGGACTGCAATGGTGGAACTGCTAGAAGCACCTACAATAAAGTAAATAAGAAATTCTGAAAGAAATAATGAATTAAATAATTCTACCAAAATTCTAGTGCATACCTGTCTCCTTATATAAAATATTATTGCAATCAAGTACTTTTAGAGATTATATATGGAAATGGACAGACAGCTTCCTTTCTTTCAGCCTTTCTTCTTTACCGAGACATTGAGAGTCAGATACTATGCAACTGTTGATTGTATTTTTGGTATGTACAAGTTGTTGTTGCACTTGTCTTTCTTTGTTCTGCAAGTAACTCTAGCTTTATGTCTAGCTCTCTGTGTTCATGTGTAGTGGGTGATGATGTCAGTGTGGAATGTGCCTGTATGAATGGAGTCTACTCACATTCTCTGTTTCTTTTCACACAACACCATTTTCGTTTTGCATCGTGTGACATGGATAATAGAGCGGGAACTTCCAGGTATGACATAATATTTTGCGTTCATTGACGCCAACTGTTTACACATGTTCAGATGGTTGGTATGGAATTGTAGAAACAAATCCCAACCTTTTTACTGTTTCTGTAGTTTTAACTATGCTTTTGCTGGCCACATTGATGATATGTCCCACATTCGTTTGAACTTCTATAATCGTTATTTTGAGATTTTTGAAGATTTCTCTCAGTCCCTTTTGGCAAATATTGGGATAGTACTTTAATGTAGGTCATGATGTGTCCTCTTTCACTGCTTCTGACTTTACATGCACTTTCATCTGTGTCTCATGTGAAGCCACATAACCACAACAGTTGAAAGAGTGATGTAAAGTAGCCAAATAACCAACAAACTCTCATATTTCTGGAAGCGAGTGATAAAATTATTATAGATCATTATTAAGATGTGGCTGAGGAGAAAGCAAATATAATATATTTTATTGTCAGCTCCCAGCATTTTTATTGATGTTCTATTGAAAATGTTAAACACTGTCAATTTGAACATTTATAGGAAATACTGAACTTTGTTTTCATATTTTTAAAACATAGAATTATCTTAATTCAATACAATTTAATGTGAACCAAACTTTAAAATGAGCATCATAATAACTGTAACATAAAGGTATTATGAACCCATTTCAGTCAGTACATTGCAGAATAAATTCTTCACTTAATACTCAGCCCTTTATGTATATTATTTTTTAAGTAAGAATTCCTATTTTTGACATAAAAGAGGGGTAACAATATAATAGCAGTATAGCTAATCATGATAAAACTAGTAAATCTTACAATTTTAATTTTTTTAGATACTGTAATTGTTGCTTATATAAGTCATTCCATCAGTGGTTTTTAAATTATAGTGTATTGTGAAATAATGGTCTGGTGATTTATAATTAAAGAGGCTTGTGTATATTAACATTGCAATGCATGAAGACTGTCCAGGGAACCATTTTTATTTGTTGATTAGTAAGTAGAAGTGTAAAGTAATGATCTGTGCACTGTACTGTGATAAAATGTATGGCAATATAGGATATGCCTGAAATACACTGCATGAATTACTGTTTGCCGTCAGTTCAGAGGAATGGGAATTTATTGAATCCAGAGAAGGAAATAATACACTAGAAAATGATGCTTAAAATATTGTATATATCAACAAATTCACCTCTAATAATAATTATACAATTTTAATTAAAAATGTAAGTTCTTCCCAGGCACATAAATTCCTGGGGGTTGTACAAAAAGAATTGTTGCATCTGAAGCTGCCAAAAAAATGAGTTCTGTGAAAATTCCAGCATATTTAAGGTGCCTGGTAAAGAACAATATAATAAAATATAGGTTTCTGTTAATTGATCTTTCATACTACCCTTATTATATGAAAGTGAAATTATGTAACTATTGTCCTGATATCAAACTTTCTTGGTGGATTTGGAACAGAAACTAAAAACACAGTGTCAGCTGTGAGGATCTTAGTGTGGCACATTTAATGAATTCATCAGAAAAATTAATCTTCAGGTAGATGGTACCCACATGCCCCACCCTCCTTTGCTTTCTAGGGTTCATTGTATACTTAATGTAACAATAATATTTCAGGAGCACAACAGGAAGGTGTGGAGGGCTTCTTTAAGGGTGTTGGTAAGGGCTTGATGGGACTCATGACTAAACCTGCTGGAGGGGTTCTGGACTGCATTGCAATGGCACTAGATGGAATTAAAAGGTGAGGTTCATCAAATGTTGCATCAGCTGTTCAAGTCATTCAACCCTTTCAGAAGTATTACTTGGATATTCCAGGGAAGTATTATGTACCACACCTGTTACTTCTGAATGTTTTAAAAATATATCCTATTGCAACTCTCCTGAAAGCAACAGAATATACATTACATTACATTATCATTTGATGTTAGTCTTCTAAATTGTGACACCATGTGGACTTGCAGGTAGATACCAATATTTCAGAGGAACACACTACTTCCATCTAAAGGGATGAACTCAACCCTGAAGATTAAAGCAGTATTTTTCTCTGGAACGTTGGTGTCCATCTATAAAATTGACATGTTGTTACAATCCAGAAGACTAACTTTGACATGTTTGTCATGAGAACCTGAAATCTCATGGTTAGTTTAGTTGGAAGATATGCAGTATTACATGAGAGTGTTTTCTGTTCTACATGTGGTATCCATGCCATTGTTAATGCTGAATCATCTCTTTCCAGAGCTGCTGAAATGGGTGAGGATGTGGTGATGAGGTCAAGATTGCCACGCTACATGAACCCATACACGGTAAGCTTATTTTGACATACATTTTCAAATTCAGTGAATTTCCTCTCAATCATTGTCATAAAAGTTTAGGCTACAAATAGCTTAAAAGGTTTTTAAACTTCACAGTTTTTAATATCAGTGTGCTCACTTGTAATCTGATTTTATTACAGTATCACACACACATGACAGAATTAGTATTAGGGACAGTAATTATAGGCAGTGTGTATGAACAGCAGGTAGGGGAATGGGATGAAGGAAGAGGAGAATGTAAGTACTATTACCCTCTCCTTGTCTACTGCTGCTGCAGCAGTTTGGTGTGTGGGTTTTGTGTGCTGTCACCCATTTTGCATTTTCAGGGACTAAGGCCCTTCTCTGTGTATGAAGCAACAGGACTCCATCTTCTGAACACTCTTAGTAAAAGTCATTACTCCGACTCTGATATCTACTGGGCGCATGCTTCACTCACCAAGGAAGCAAAAGTTAATGTCCTCATCTCACTCCAGTGAGTCCACTTATTCCTCAGAACACTTTAACTTAGTAGGATTTGAGGTTCTCATTGCCGTTGTCTTATGGGTTTCAGTGCTGTGTAGTCGGGTAGAAGTTTACCAGTGTTTCAGAGAGACTACACTGTGCTACAACCCAGAAGACAGTCATCTTCATTCAGTTTAATTTGTTCATGTGCAGTTCCTATAAATTAGTTGCTGAAATTTGTGTATTTATTTTGAATGTTATTAACTGTTTCACAGCATGCTGTCTCTTCTTTAATAAATATTTAAAACTGTTTAATAATTTTATTTTACTTTTAGTCTATTTACCATCCTTACTATCACCCTAAGATTCATAGTCCACAAGTAAGAATTTACTAATGTCATCTTCTGCAATCTATTTATTCTTTTATCTACTATAACTTAACTATGCATTTTTGTCACACTGCAATCCTCATCATGTAAATATTTGTATGTTTATATATTTAGGCATGTATTTCTGGTTGAGAAGTGTCGCCTATGGGGAACATGGGATGTGGAGTGGATGGTGCGTGTGGATGACATCATGGCAGTACCACACATAGTAGACAACAAGCTGGTGTTCAAAGTGCGTCAGGTGAGCCATTTTAATATGCAGTGGATACTATCTTAATGCAAGTTATATATCACTTTTAAAGAAGAATTGAAAAGTGTGTAGAAATAAATAAATGAATGCATCAATGAAATGAATAATCCAAACTACATATTTATCTGATATGGTTTCTGACTATTTCAGGATGAAAGCTTTAACTTCTTCTCTGGAGATGAGAGATATATTGAGTGCCAAGACACATCTGTGTTAGAGTGGCTTCAGAACAAGATTGAAACTGTCATGATACTAAACATGGAGGACAAACCATGCCCTAGTGAGGTGTGAAGTGACTACCTTAATGTAGAAGAGACCTGTCTGTTCTTGCACATGTATGTATGTATTATTGTAATCTATGCTGATATGTACATACTTATATGAAATATTTTCACATCATATGATAGGGTCAATTTGAATGGCAAGTCATGCTTGTTTGTTGAGAAAACTTAGAGTATGTGGGTCCATTTTGAGGTTGAGGTAATAAACATTAACCATTATGTAGACTCAGAACTCTGCTGTCATGTTGAAGTAAAAGTATGTCCTTTCATTGCTGGACCTCTTTCTTTTTGACTGAACTTTGTCAGAAGAAACACATTTCTTCATGAGATTTTAACATTTTCTTGGCAGGTTATGGGGTCTGGGTTTTTGATGTGGTACAGCCTTGTAACTGGCTATTTATATGCTGAAGTTAGAGGCAGTGTGTTCCTCTGAAACTTTGGGAACCACATACATTGCACAAGACTGCACTACCCAGAATATCACAATCTGAACTTACTTTCATGTTACTCAGCGTGGCACCTTAATGTCCTACATCATATCCCTCTGTGGGAGGTAACAGACTTACAGAAGTCTGTCTGAGCCCCTTTTCATAATATAAAACAAAATATTAGTTATATTTAACTTTAACCAGATTTTGGAAGTATGAAAGAGAGGAAATTAACTCAACTTCTAACCCCAGATAATACTACTGATTTGTTTCTTGGGTTATGTATAAATTACATAGGATATATAGAAATGAATTATTGGATGACTGAATGGGTAAGAACATGGAAGGAAGCAACTGTGGCATATCTGAAATGGTTCACTTCAGTCATCCTGACAACCAGTTTATCTAAGATCCATTTTAATATCATCTTACCACTGATGGTCAACATTGGTTAAAAATACCAAGAAAAAATTGATGGTGCCAATGTACAATTTTCAGCTTTGATGTTGTTGTTATTTGCCAACTTCTAAGGCTCTTTATGCCTGCCTCCTGTTTATGTTAAAAACCATCATTCCACAAAATGGTATGAGATTCACCTGCAGGCCAAGGTACATATGGTAGGATAGGTTACTAAAATGTAATAATAATAACCACAACAATAAGAATTGCAACCACAAGCCAGGCTGTATAGAGGCTTAACTCTGAGATCAGGGTTTAACTTCTTTACCAAATTAATCATCAGTATTAATAACAGTAATTCATAATCAGTCTGTAGGAAACTGTAACTATTCAGGTTTTCTGGCTGCTGTTATTTTAAGCAAAATCAGTCACAAAAATTTCATACAATATTTTACTGTTGTACTTGGTAGACATTACTGTGTTATTTACTTTAATTTATTCACTTCAAATGTTATTTAAAATGTGTAGATTTAACAGTGACCACTCATTTTAGGACAGAACTGTTCTTTAAACCAGTTTATAAAATGAATGTACAGTGAAGAATATATCTCAGCCATCCAGGACAGTAATTTATGACCTGTCAGATCCTGAAAATCAGAAAGGGAACATGACTGTACATATATCATCATTATATGAAACAATCTTTAAAG